TGGCACATCGAGAACACAGGGTAAAAGAAGAAAGATTATCTCTTCCTTTCTGTTTATTCGTGCGCTTGAACTGACAGTTATACCATGCATATCCAACTAGCCCAACTTTCGATTCTGTTGAAATATATCATAATGGCTAAGCATATAGTTTAAACAGAGAAGTTAGTGAAAAATAAGAAAAGAGAGCATCACTGCCGAAATACACATCATATGTTGCGCATAGTAAAACACATAATAAATATCATAACCTAGTTACAAAGCACGTAATTCACACATATTCACAATCTTAGCGCATGGTATCAGAGTGCACTATATGTTTCATTGCTTCTAAAAAGTCAGTGAGCGATTTGATTTTCACAACCGAATCTGGTAACGGATTCCACTGCTGAATCACCCTGGGGAAGAAGCTGTACCCGAAACAGTCATTATGAACTTTGGGGGGCGGTATGTACATACTGTGTCTGTGTCTTGACGTCTTTTGTGTTTTGACTTCAAAGTGCCTGTCGTAGCTTATTTTAACGTGATTATGAACTATTATGAAAAGGAATTTCAGCCTTTCATATTCGGTGCGTTTTTGTAGAGGTAAGAGCTCTGCCAGTTTGCATAATGAATGAAAGCTGAGAAAAATCATAAAAAAAAACGTAAACGGAATCTGAGCTTGTTATTATTTTTTTTTTTCGTTTTGAATAGCCTCAAGATGCTATTCACTAATCGGCCCTCGTTTCGCGTCCGCCTCTGTGAATCAGTCGCTATACGATGCTCCACTGCTGACCCTAATGCCGCGCGTTCGATCGTGGCCTCGGCGGTCACATCTAAATTGAGGCGAAAAAGTATATGCCCATGTACTGCATGATGTCAGCGCACGTTAAATAACAGCAGATGGTGAAAGTTTGCGGATACCTCCACTACGGCATCCCTCATATTGATATCGTGGTTTCTTTTTTTTACGTGAAACCACACATACTACCACAGCTACTACTACTACTACTACTGCTACTACTACTACTCCATTTCGCTTGTGCTCGTCTTGTCGTCGTTCCTGTATCATCGTGCCTTCGCCGACCCTGACAACGATCAGCTTGTGTTTGGTGCGTCGTCTCTGAACGGAGTTTCAGCGGAATGACGTGGTGTATCGCAATCACAATACATGATCCTTGCCAGCCTCTCCTAGAGTACACGCACTGACTGATCTATCCCACATAAACGGGTAATGCACAACAGAAAACGCCGAAACGACACAACTTCGATGGCATACGTGCACAAGTATAGGCTGGGGCACGTCATGCGCGCGTGACCTTGCTTACACATGTTGTTCTCGTTGTGTATGCGTCATGTGATTCTCCAGCCCTGATACCGAAAAGAACAGGGAAGGATTGATGCTCGCGACGGCTACACGGGACGACAGGCAAGGGATTCAAGCTTGCTTCTTCGCATCATGCTTTGGTGGCTCGTGGCGAACCGATTTTGAAAATCACCGTAGTAGAACGCTTTTCATTAGCCACGCAAGAACTTCAAGTGTCTCACTACAACTTATTATGTCACCTAGAGAGGTACGCCTTAAAAATAAATCACAAACAAAACAAAAGTCGCGTGCACATCACATTTTTTACTCGAAGGCGCTGCAGCAGATGGGTTACAATGTCAAAGAAAACACGCCTTCATTGGCACAACACACTTTGTTCCCTTTGTAAGCCATTTCATGCTTTCATGAAACTAGCAAAAACAAATTATTAGAAATATTATATCTGATACGACATTTTATATATTAATTATCATTGCGCGAAGAGGACTGTTTAGGTACATTCATTTTCGTATGCGAGTTTTACCATGAAATGCTTGACATAGGAGCTTTAACCGCAGTTTAATTTGATGCGATGATGGTAGTTCCCCTCATAGTTCATTTTTATATATTTTTACAGCTGTCATATTTGAGTAATGGCTTAGGACAAACCTTGAAGTCCTGTTTTGTGTATTTTTTCATGTTTGTCACTTAAAGACATATGACAAGGGATCTCAAACGGAACAAGCGCATTCAAGCATACGGAGAATGTAGGCTAAATACACCATTGATTTAAAACATGCCGGTGCCTATCTCATGCTTCGCTGTATAAAGTACAACGATTTGGCGACCTTCGCCACCACTGAATCAACAAGAGCATTCCATGAGTGGGCCTTCATGGTTTTTCATTCGTTCTTCAGCTACCCGTGGTGGTCCAGGCAAAACCTACTCTTCCATTCTCACCACAATACCAGATTTTCAGGGCGGTTCTTCAGTTCCTTCAGGGCACTGGACAGCCGTCTGTAGAAGGCGGTCGCCGCGTCCTCGGCCATAGACGTCACTTATATTTTCTTACCCGATCTTTAATTCTCCCTCCTCCCATATCCCTGCAGACGCGGAGACGTGCTTTCGCTTAGTGCTGCAGAAATACTTTTCACTCCTTGTGCTTAGTCTTTTTCACTCCTTATACTCATCTTCCAATCGCTTGCAACTTGTCAGCTTTGTGTTTGTTGAACCTTATAGTGTTTTGAAATATCAATGTTGTTCTTTTTTACATAGGCAACGGCTTCACACCACGCTAGAAAACAAAATTTGAGCTTGAATAGCGCTCATATACGCGCTCATTTGAAAAATAGGCACTTAGAGGCGTTTAGGCATGAACATTTAAAATAAGCATTTATAGGAACTATAAAAACATCATAAAAGCCCTTCTTAACCTCTAATTCATGCTCATATATCAAAATGGCACGATAGAAGCACAAGGAACAAAATAGGCATTTGCCTATAATCCGGTCTCTAATCATTACATTTCGTTGCGTACACTTGTCGTGATATGAGTGTCTTTGGCGTTACGCTGTTGTGGTCGCTGGTGCGATTCCCGGATCCGGCTGCAGCACATCGATGAAATGAATGTAACAGCTATTCATGCATGCCTTCGTTTTTGCGTGCAAATTGACACAGAATTGAGAAAAAAAGAACTATAACATGCGCATCATTGGTTCTGGTACTTGAAACGAGCTGCCACAAAGGAAAAAAAATAATGACTATATCTTTTTACAGAATCTGCGCATGATTCTTCAGTGTGCAGAATGCGTACGTGATAAACAGCACACACAATGTAGTTCATATAGAGTGCAGTTCCTTTTAAATCCCTACTTTGGAGATTATCGATCCACTATTGGTTGCGCATGTGCGCTCTGACGTCTGAACGTGGGCTGCGCACTTACGTTAAAAATTGCTCCATAAAATCTGATGCTTGGTTTCAAACAGGGCCTTCCCGTATACGGTAGCCCTACAGATGTTCGACTATGGTAGATTTATTATTATTAATATAATATTCTTATTATTATTATCATCATAATATTCTTATTATTATTATTATTATCATCATCATATTATTATTATTATTATTATTATTATTATTATTATTATTATTATTATTATTATTATTATTATTAAAAGCTCAGTAAAACACTTTTGTAATTATCCATTACGTGAGGCAGCGCTTTGCAACGCTTGTCGTGTAGCAAGTGTTGGTACGAAATTAGCGCGCGTACCTTCCAGCTGATTATGAAGAAGAAGTTGCGAGAGGCGTTCTTCCCAAAGTGCACTACTAAATCTAGTGGCGGCAGAATCAATTCAGGGCCCCGTCTTAGATATTCCAGAATCCTGATGCCTATATACGATCGCTCGATTTCAAACTTTCTATATACGGCAGGAACACATGAGCTCTTCTGCTCTAAATGGCGCAGATTTTTAGCACCTTAAGTTTCAGTGGTACTGCTCATGGTGTGCAACAACACAATTTTAAGTGGCATTTACTAAGTTGCGACGCAGGATTTCACCTTTAAACCTTTATTTATACAGACCTGTTTTTGTTTCTTCCCCCTCCCACCCTTAATCGTCACTATTGTACACAAACAGAAGCTATAAAGCACTTTTTCACAGAATGCCGCTGGTATTCACAGAATTCCACGAGCTTTCCGAAAACACGGGCTTGAGCTGTCTGAAACGGTACTACTCTCCCTAGGGCCTTCGGCACTGGGTCATTGCAACAGAAACTTATATAAAGCGATATATAACTATACTAAAGAATCAAAAAGGCTACCATGTTAATCTCACAAGTGCGCACTCATTATTTATTTTCGTCATCAGTCTATTTCACATGTTTTAACTAAAATATTTACTATTTTTATTATTTTTTATATTTGTTTGTTTTCCATAACAATTGACAATAGTTTGTTAGCACAACTAAGCTTTCCGTTTATCTAAAAAAATTAAGGCATTCTTCCCCGATCCCCCGTGGTGGGTTGAGCCATTCCTCTTGGGTAAAACCAACTGCGCGGCATCCGTCGCGCAGTGACCTGTTAACAAGAGGTAAGGCCCATTGTTTCTGGTGGTTCAGTGCGTTTTTATTACTTATACCCGAAACCTTTCCGTTGCTCCGGGAGCAGTGAAATATGCGGTGCGTCGCTAGGCCTAATGCGACATTGCCTTGCTGGCTCGAGAAAGCCTTATTGTTCTCTAAATCTTGCTTCTTTCTTTCTTTTTTTTCACCACCATTTTCTTTATCTACCACTTTGATGTTCAGGGGCTGTGGCGACGCCGTTGTTTAGATCGGGCTTCGGTTATCGGTTGGGCATGTATGCTGAAGCCGAGTGCTAAAACGTAACGCGTAGCCCCTTCACGCGGCATACTTTGTGAACTTTTCTTGAGAGTAAATAATCGACCGTTCTGCTCTTTTTCTTCCCACGAGTATGCCCAGTGCAATCTGGTCGACGATATGGTGCCTGCGTGCACACTTCTTGGCTTGGACACTGTCCGGCCGGACTTGTATTGCCTCCTTGGCGGCACTCGGGAAAGTTGCAACGGAGATAGCTAACGCAGTTTCGTTCACTGCCTATTCCTCGTGGCCACATGGGTAAAGAAGTGACACGTCGAGGCTGTGTGACACATAGCGCATGTGCGGCCCTGCTGCTGTATCTGATGCTTCGTATCGCAGGGCAAGCGCCTGCTGCAAGCCGGCGATCGCGTGAGCATCTCCGGCGAGCGACCTTTCCGCTGTGAGCTGCACATCCAGGACGCCTGCTGCGACGACAGCGGAAAGTACCAAGTGGTCGTGGAGAACGCTCTTGGAAGCGACTCGGGCTTCGCCTCCGTCAAGGTGGAAGGTAAGTGCAGCCGATGTGGTGCTTGTGCACTTTTAGTAAACTTCACAATGGGGAGTTATAGAATAGCGCACCGCGAGCCGTTGCGATGCGCTCTCTGCCTCTGCCCATGCTTCGTAACGCGAGTCGCCGTTCGCGGCCCGCCCGCAGAAAATCCGAAATAGCGGGTGGCGTGTGCGGACCGCATGCGGCCGGCAATCGCTTGTGTCGAGGCTGTGCGTACTTTTCGTGCATTTGAGTTCGCGGGACAGCTAAAGTTCCTAGAATGTTCCCTAGGAGGGGCAAACGTTATTCTAAATCTCATATGGCGCCCGCTATGCCCGCAACGCCCTGCAAACGTTATTCTAAAACTCCCTATTGATCTCAATTGTATACGACGGGTTGGGTGGGCCACCCCCTGGCTACGCCACTTGTGCTAGCGTACTCATCGGGCGATTCGCGTGGCTAAAACCTTCTCTTGGCAACATATTAAACACAGAACAATAATACGGTATATCGTAAACGGCAAGGTATTACTATCACTGCTACGACAGGTAACGTAGCACTTCAGTTTTACTTCATTAATAGAGAGTTTTAGCAAGCTACGGAAACACGTTACGGAAAGGCGGCAACATGGAACCGGCTGATGAGTGCGCATGCGCGATCATTGTACGCGCATACGGAAAGGAACCGTGTCGTATTTCCGTGACGTGTTTCCGTAGTTTGATAAAATTCTCAAATAATTTAAATTACAGTGACTCGTACAAGAAAATATGAAGAGGGCCCCAAAGTCAATGAATGCGAATGGAACTCTGCGTACCAAGAAAATCATACTGTAGGTAAAGGCAGCGCTGTAAAGTTGAAAACAAGGATAAACTGGACTACAAAAACGTATCTTTACTTCCCTGTCGGTGCTGTCCAGTTTTTTTTTTTTTTAACTTTACAGCGCTGCATTTACTTATAGCCCCAACACAAGCTTTTCTGAAGAAAATCATAACTCACGATCTCCTACTTATTTTCAAGGCTTACTTTCTGGGGGAGGCTGCTGTTATATTTTCAAAACGCCGGTACATTCATTTGGAGTGTTTCTCAATGCATTGACGTAAAAAGCTCAAAATTTCGTCCAATGCTCGTTACACTGTAGCTTAGCCGCAAAGAGGGGGGGGGGGGGGGGGGAGGTGGCTACGGTACTCTGCTGCTGATTCGCAGGTCACGGGATCGCATCCCAGCTGCGGCGGCTGCTTTTTCGATGGAGGCAATAATGCTGTAAGCCTGCGTTCTCAGATTAGGGTGTACGTTAAAGAACTCCAGATGGTCGAAATTTCCGGAGCCCCCCACTGCGGCGTCTCTCATAATCGTATGAAAGTTTCGGGACGTTAAAGCGCACATATTATTTCAAGCAACCTGCTGCTTTGGTAACCTCGGTGGTGCCGGTCTGACGTCTTGCCCCCGCGGCCGCCTTTCAATGGCGCGAAACGCAGAGAATCCCCTCGGTGTTTTTTGATTGAGGCGCCCGTTGAAAAGCCGCAAGTGTTCAAGACTATCCCCGACAGCTTTACTATTTCATGCACATATCAATTACATGCGAATCATTTCTTTACGTACTGCAAGCAATTTTGGCGTCTATCGATCGATCGCCATACGTCTGAGTGCTCTCATGATCACTCCCTTGACTTGGGTACATCAAAATTAATAGGGGAGGGTAAGATAGTTTGACGAATACGACGCGCTGTTCATGATATGGGTAATGTTAAAATCTAGTCCCGTGCGTCGTCAAACACTTTCCAAAAAATAGTGGCACATACCCCAGGGCGTGTATGTGCCACTAGGCAGCGTTGACCGGACGAATGCGAAGAATAAATGTCAGTGTCGTAGTAGGAATCAAACCTTGGCATTCTGCGTGGCAATCAAGTGTGCTACCACAGAGCCAGGCCAGGTCTCGAATATACTTTGCAAACAGACCCTCGTGAAACGTAAATTTTGGTAGCTGTACTGGCTATGAAATTTTATAAACATTACTTATGTACTCCTATGATACAGGCGTCATGTCGGGTTAACGTCAATTGTAGTTAGGCGCCATGCGCTGAGGTTGAGTTGTGTAGCAGTGTTGAGAGCTACCACCCCCGGGACAACAGTAAAGTGGATGTGACACAATAGCAGGCAAACAATTGACATTATTTGGTGGGCACTAGCGCGCAATTCGGTATCAAATTAGTTTTCGTGGGCCCCCGATTGCTAAGGACTCGCGCTAAGGCAATCACCGGCGAGTCATCCACGAGAGCGCTTCAAGTCAACGCCAGCTAATCGAAAACATCGACTAATGACTATATCGTGATGTTTGAGGGTGCTACCGTTTAATTCGCCTCGGTTTCACTAGGAATACTATTCTTGGAAGTTTTATTTGGCGTTCCTGGCATCTTCCCCAGATATATCGAAGCGCAAGCAGCAGCTCATCTTTCATGTTTATAGCGTTGCTTATTTCGCTTGGCACATGTGGAGGATTTTTATTGGGCACATTGCTTGTGTTCTTCAGTTCTAGCAAGAAGAAATTACGCCTATAGTCGCACCAGAATTAGGACGTTTCAGTTGTAATCAATGGTCGCAGTAAGTGAATATCATCACATTGCACACAATGGGCACCAAGTGTGGCGATACGCACAAAATGTGTGCGGACAACATGTGCGCTCTGTTTCTTACGCTCCGATTAATTACGGTCAATTATGCGAATGCAGGAGTGCGAACTGTAACGCGACAGATAACTAAGTGATAGGCTCACCGGTAAGACGAATATTAGTAGGCACTGCGCGTTTAAGAAAGAAACCGGGCTGTAGGACTACTGACGCATGGAAGTCCAGTGACCAAAGTGCTCCGAACAGTTGCCCTCGTTTTTTTGTTTTTTTTATCTAGAAGACATGGGTCGCCAAGCATATGCGTGTTGCTACTACACACTTGCGCATCACATTGTTTTCGCAAGTTTCGAGGCAAGCACTTGGCGTCAAATGTTATCCGCATCGTCCGGCTTCTCGTTGGACAACTCAAGAAGGTTACCAATGACGACGGCCCCGCCACGGTGGTCTAGTGGCTAAGGTACTCGGCTGCTGACCCGCAGGTCGCGGGATTAAATCCCGGCTGTGGCGGCTGCATTTCCGATGGAGGCGGAAATGTTGTAGGCCCGTGTACTCAGATTTGGGTGCACGTTAAAGAACCCCAGGTGGTCGAAATTTCCGGAGCCCTCCACTACGGCGTCTCTCAATCATATGGTGGTTTCGGGACGTTAAACCCCACAAATCAATCAATCAATTACCAATGACGACGCGCACCTCACAACTTTGCGCATAGCATAACTTAAACTTTCACCACAAGAATTCGTGGAATGCAAGCAAGTGCGGTGGACCAGTGAGCCGGTGAGTAACTACAGACGAAATTTTGAGGGTGAGCCTTTTCATGTAGCGCAATGGCTGCACTGAGGCGTGCGCAGAGGACGCTAAGAAAAATATTTTTGGTAATATCAAGACAATGACATAAATTCTTTGCTTGTTACACCTATAGAATATTGTTGGGGAAATAAGTGTCATTCGCAAAGCATGATTGATTCGCCTTCGAATGAAAATTTTGTTTTTCACTATTAGTGTTTCTTCTCTCTAAACATAGTCGCGCTTCAATCGCGGACCCCATAGCAAGCCATGCTGATGTCGCCGGCAATAGCTGATGAGCCGCTTTTTGCGCGAAGTTTCGCGACCATAGAGTTATTATACAGCGTGTATATTAACTCTATGTTCGCGACCTCTTAGATAGGCCTTGCACGAGCGCTGCGTAGACGTGATGCGCACGAAGAGAAACCTCTCCTCGCGCATGCGCGCAGATGCGGTCACGTGTCGTCACCTGACGGCGCTGGCAGTAAAGCTAGACTGAAATCACTGTATATGCTACCTTTAGGTAGCATATACAGTAACTGTGTATGCTACCTAAAGGTGGCATCTATAGTAACTCTAAGCCTGTCCATGGAAACTCAGCGCTATAGTTTTGGTTTCAAGACACGTGTGCGCTCGTGGCGGTTGCTGGGCATCTTAATTACCTGTTTGAACGCAGTGAGGTTAACGTGGATATTCGAAATTATTGTCTTTCACCCGTTTTTACATATAAATATATTTGATTGAACTGTAAAGAACTCATCTTTTCTTTTTTGTATTTATTCTTACTTTGTGAATTTCAACTCGCGCGAAGCGCGGGAGTACTTGGCTTAGTGCTTGCCTCCGCTCCCCCTTGCCACTTGCTCAGCTATATAACATGTTAGATTGCACTCATTTGTCTCGCTCGGTAAGCGTGCCGAATATTAGGGCAAAAATAAGACATTTTCTGCGGCGTGCAGCGAGCGGAAGTGGAAGTTAGCCAGGTCATCAGGTCAACCACGCACTGGACGAAGATGGCTAAATCGGGACATCACATATTTTGTTTGGCTCCGCAGTGTGCTATTCCACGGCTTTCCAGGTCTGCGAATGTCTTCGAGATTTCCTGAAGATAACGGGTGAGCACAAGTATTTGTATCCGGTATTTGAACAGCGGGTATTCATTTTGCAGGAGTACATGAGTGAACCTAGTGCTCTGTAATCCTGACAGGACTGACATTAGCGCAGTGTCACTAGACTAATTTGTGAGGACGAGAGCTTACCTGCTGCTCACAATATGTCTCATAAAAGGCTTGAATGCGTGTTCACTTGGCTACAGAGTTTGTTCATCTTTTACTTTTGGCACGTAGTTGAAACGATGTGAATCAATTATAGCCTGCTTCTGTTCGTGGAAATGCATGTAGACAGTGTAAAACTTTGTGGGACTTTGCTTCCAATGCTTTCAATGAAATACATGCAATAGCCCCGCCACGGTGGTCTAGTTGCGAAGGTACTCGGCTGCTGACTCGCAAGTCGCGGGTTTGAATCCCGGCTGCGGCAGCTGCATTTTCGATGGAGGCGGAAATGTAGGCCCGTGTGCTCAGATTTGGGTGCACGTCAAAGAACACCAGGTGGTCG